GTAGTCGTGTCCTCTTTTGGAAGACCAAACAAAGTAGTTTCGCTTTCACAACGAAGCACACAGCGCCTTCACAACATGGCTCCAGCATCAACAATACAGTGAGAATAAAAGTTACGCCTTCTTTCTTTGTGTGAACATTTGGGCGGCGTTATGCAAATCTTCCCACATAGTGAGGTAGATATGTGGGGGCGTGTTAGAACGAGCCGTTTTAGGTAGGTGTGGCTGACTCTGAACTTTTATAAAGAATATCTCTTTGGATTTGAGACTTTAGTCTTTGCAGCTTTACAGATCTTCTTTATGCACCAAGAGCTTGTAACACTCCAAAGAGAAAGGAAAAATTGAAATCGCATCATATGACCCCTTTAAACAATGTGGCGTGGCATGTGAAAATGATAATGGCATCTAGCTGAAACTAGCAAAATACACTTGCGTCGATGTCGTGCCTGGCGCCGACATCTTTGAATGTCTAATAAACATCTAATTTCAAAAACCTTGCAAATTTAGTTGGATCCAGTTGTGAGATCTTGTGAAGTGTGCAAATGTTTTCACTGTGTGCTGTATGTAAAATGAGTTTTCAAATTATTTCAAATTTCTTAAATATTAATTAAAATAAATAAAATTATATCGGCCATCGGCCACCCTGCTTTCCAAGATATCGGCATCGTCATCGGCTGTCAAAAAAACAATATCGGTCAACCACTACTAACCACTAGTTCCTTTGAGGCACAAGGTACTGTACGTGTCAGACGTTTCTCAGAGCATTTCTCAGAGCATTATCAGCCTGACCTTTCTGCATAGTTCTTGTAAATAATAATAATAATAAAGTGCAAGTTTCTTTTTTTCTCTAATTTTTTTTATGAAAATACTTTATTATTTGCTTTCAGTGTTTAGTTCTTTTTTATTTTTTATTTTACTTTATTTTATTATTTCACAGTTTGTGGGTTACAATATTAAAGAACAATAAATCCTAGATAAAATAAAGGACCTCACTATTATTCAAAAATGTGCCAAATATTTTTTTTTACATTTTTTTATTAATATAATCATATTTAATAAATGACTGATTCTTTAGTCTATAAGTAAAAAATAAATCCTTAATTTAAAAATAACTTAAAATTAAAGACACAACACCCTTATAAATATATGTTGTTGTTTTTTTATTATTTCACGGATCACACTATTAAAGAAGAATAAATACAAGATAAAATAGAGGACCTAACTATTATATTAAAATGTGGAAAAAAATCATTTTTAAATAATAATAATACACATATTTAATAAATGACTGTCTAGAGGTCAAAATATTCCTTAATTTACTAACAAGAAAAGTCTATCTACTAACAAGAAAAGTGTATCTTTTAAACAAACATACAATTAAGGACACAACATCCTTAGATACATGTTGCTGCTGTTTGTGTGTTTTTTCAAACAGAATGAAAGAGTATAAAGGTGCGTGGCATGACAGAGAACATGACATGCAAGACATCTGAAACGAGCAGTGTATGTATGTATGTGTGTGTTTATGAGATGCAGCCAGCAGACTGCAAGGTAAGAGTGGTCCACTGGGACAACTCAGAAATAACAACAAAGAGTCATCAGAGGTCTGGATGAAAGCCCTGTCATGAAATATTTCACTTCTCACAGTCCACACCTCAATGAGTATGTGCTCATGGATTGACTGACTGAGACTGCTGCCAGAGCACATGGGATTTTGACCACAACAAACCCTGGATCTAGCGGATACCTCAGTGCAGTCACATTTAATTTCACAGAACACAATCACTGCATTACGTATAACTGTGCTTTAGCTGTGATATTCGTCAAAGGCACAAGTTTTGTTTTTTTCACAAGTTAAGTCAAAATGGCTTTAGAATTTCTCGGAACTGTGCATTATTTCAGAATGGATTTTTCAAAATACAAACAAACGAATCAAATATAAAGAGAAAGAATTGCATGCTTTTTAATGGTAAGAATATGTTGAAAGTTCATGTTTGTTATGATTCTTCTCGACCTGTTTCTTCTAGCAGTTCATCTTCCTTCTCACAACCATTACTGTTTCATTTTCATTTCAACAGTGCCATCAAGTGGACTTCTTATGTCTACTTCGTAGTTGTAAATTCAGGACAGAAATATAAAAGCCCACGCATTATTCTGTTATTGTGTAGTAATAAAAATAAATGCAAGTATTTGGATTTTCACCAAATTCCAGTGAAAATGGATAAGAATTCTCTGATTCATACAAGGACAACACAGATAATGTTTTAATTTCATGTCACGTTGTCAATGAACACATAGTTTTCCAAAGTATCAACACGTGGAAACAATTGTACATTTCCTGTTATCTGAAGAAAGTTAATGGTTTTAAACCAGTCATTTTAATATCAAAGCACTTAACACTAGTATTATAGCCTAATTACTTGCAGGCTGGCAAGTCCAAACCCCTGTCAAGGTTGCATTTGAAGAAAATTACTTAATATTTATCTGACATGTACAGTATGCTTGGAGTCGGATGAGGCAGTTCACATTACAGAAGATTGCTTTGTATTATGGCCATTTTGGTCAATTACATTGGCCTCTGATCTCTTCCAGTTGATTGACTTGCATGGTTTTCATTATAAAGACGTACAAAGTCTGTCTGTTGATACTAGTAAACAAAATCAGAGACATAATAGAGAGACTATGTCCAGCTGTGCTTAAGATTGTAGTTCAGCTTGATTACAGAGGCTTTGAAATGCTCTAGCCGAGGAAGACAATAGTTTTGCTGTTTTTGCTCACCCATTATTGCCATATATGTATGCTTATTACAAACAAAATATTAAGTTTCAGTGAAGGTTGCTCTGTTAGTGTATATAGTATTGCCAGAAATGTAGCATAGCGATATTTTTAGGTAATAAAGTCTAATGTACAAAAATAATGTATTTTAGGCTACAGAAAATTCGCTATAATGTCAGGCTGACTGTTTATTATCTCGCTGATTACAAGGTCACACACTAAATAAACAAATAGGACATGAAATATTGATTTGTTTGAATTATTTTACAATCTTACCTGTGTAATGGCTAAGTTTCTGCTGAAGAAAGCAGTCCGCTACAACGTACGAAAACAGCCGGCCTAGCAACAAGATAAACATTCATAGCCTATTAAAGGTAATGTTCATGAGGACATCTTCTCTACAATCAATTACTGTCTGAGACTTAAGACAGCACCACTTACTGAGACAGAAGTAGGCCTAGGACTGTTTTTTTTTTTAAAAAGAACCGGAACCGTGAGCTATTTAAGTTTCGGTTCCGAAAATGGTTCTGGTGAGACGTGTGACCAAGCGCATTGAACCGGAATCGGAACCGGGAATTGTTAGGCGAAACTGGAACCGGAATCAGAACCGGAAAATGTCTTACAATACCCAACCCTAAAGTCAGAGCCAGACTGTTAGTATTTAATGACAAAAGAGCGCAAGTCCGCTTGTGCTAGGCTACTAAGTTGAAAATGGCGCGAATTTATGTCAATTTGAAAAAAAAGGTTTAGTTGTGTTTTAATGGTGACATTTTTGTCCTTAAATGTGTAACTTTTTATAGGGTGAATTCAGATAAAGTGGGCCATTTTTCATTTTGAGATCATGTACTCCAGACAAATTTATTTTCAGGTAAAGTGGGCCACCCCTTATTTATCAAAAAATTATTCTGAATCTTAATTAAAAACACTTATTAACTGACAAACAGCCTATTTAACAACATCTAACAAATCTAAAAATAAATAACCCACAGGTTATGAGTAAAATAAATCGTGTGTAAATCCTCATCTCAATTCATGTATGAAATTCAAAACAACTGAAAGAACATGTTGTGTTGACATTAAATTTGATTAATCTGAATATCAGAATATTCATAAATCAGAATATTGATCAAATGAACTCTACAATATGTTAAAAATGTGTCCATAACACAAGAAAGAACAGTCTAAAAAATTAATAAGAGGAACATTTAAAATGGTAACCATATGTAAAAATGTTTTTTCTATATTTTCTCTAAACACTTTAAATTAACTTTAATTGTGTCCATATTTTAAAGCTTTATATTCTGCTTCTACATTTTGCTACTCTCATCCTTTCTTCACTCCACAGATTGAACTTCATGTCTTGACTTCCTTTCTATTCTCTCTTTCCGTTCCTTCATCTCGGACTTGAATTTCCTCACTGCAGACTCACTTCTGTTTTTAATCTGAATATCAGAATATTCATAAATCAGAATATTGATCAAATGAACTCTTCAATATGTTAAAAATGTGTCCATAACACAAGAAAGAACAGTCTAAAAAATTAATAAGAGGAACATTTAAAATGGTAACCATATGTAAAAATGTTTTTTCTATTTTTTCTATATTTTCTCTAAACACTTTAAATTAACTTTAATTGTGTCTATATTTTAAAGCTTTATATTCTGCTTCTACATTTTGCTCCTCTCATCCTTTCTTCACTCCACAGATTGAACTTCATGTCTTGACTTCCTTTCTATTCTCTCTTTCCGTTCCTTCATCTCGGACTTGAATTTCCTCACTGCAGACTCACTTCTGTTTTAAAAAAAAGTAAATTATACATGTCAAGTAGCCAGTGAATGTCAATCTATTTAATGAATTTGAGTATAATTACTGAAGGTTAAAGGTCAGCCCACTTTACCTGAATCCCACCGGCCCACTTTATCTAACACATTCTGCTAATTTCAGCAAATTCAGCAATATTTAAACACCTTACAAGAAAGCTAACAGATTTTTTAAAAATTTTGTTCTTAGCATTTGTTAACTGTATGGAAACAAAAACAGCAGGAACTGTCCCAATAATATTTGTGTCCATTTAGTGAGCAACCTTATCATTTAGAAATGTCTTATGTTGAAGGGTTTTCTACCTTCCACCATGACACAGTCCTCCTTTGAGGTATGGCCACACCCACCAGTGTCATATTGCATCAACCAAAACTATTTTATCATTTAGAGAAATAATGTCTCTTTAATTAAGAACCATTGTTATGCTCTGAAAGTACAAACCCATTGAGCACAGTACAATCAAACTTAAATGGCCCACTTTACCTGAATTCACCCTATCAAGTGTAAAATGCGTTTATGAAAAGAAATGAGGGTGAAATATTAAAATTCCAATAAAAATACATTTTGGCTAAATGCTGTTTGCATTAGCACAGCCAAAATAATAAAAACTGAAAAAGACGCCAATTAAGGAGGCCAATATGGTTACATTAATGAGCAGGGTTTCCGTGATTGATTGATTAATGGGGAATATTGGGAATCTGCCCGCTAAAAGCCACAATCAACCAATAAGAATCAAGAGCACATATTTGAGAGCACAGTGTAATGATTATTTTTATTTATTTATTTTTAAAGGGGTTAAATATCTAAAAGTAAGTTTCATAAACGTTGAATTGCCACAAACCCTAAAAAAATAAAAAATTTAAATCATGAAAGCATATAGGGTAGGCTATTCACTTTTATTGAATTTACAAGCATTCTTGGTGTTCAAACACCACAGCAAGTAGTCTTACAGAATTTCTCTCCATATAGTGTGGAATAAGATTACAATAGCTCTACATGCTAAAAATGGTATAATGTTTCAGTGTCATTACTGAACTCACAATGTCCTTCTTTACTTGCCCTCACATTTCTACTTCTAAAAGCGGGATCTACTTCATCAAGATCAGCCTGACGCAACCAAACACTGAGACTGACAAGAAAATGACCATGAAAATATGACTCCCCTCATTATCCAAGATGGAAAATTCTTAAGCGGACTTCCAAAAAGAGAAATCATGGAAATACACTTTTCGTGTCACATAAGGTCTGCCTGTGAAAGCCACACATTCTCTGCTGGAACACTTTTCTAGGCTCTCTTTCAGTGCTTAGACACATAGAGGGCAAATCTGTTATGAATTAAAGAGTCATATTTAATACGTCTATGATTCCATCGGACACCAGCTCTCAGTTGGTTTTTCAAGCCCAACTTGAGAAACCGTTTAAAGTGTGGAATGTTATTCTGTGTGTTTGAACTCCACATTTTTTTCTTGAGAGTGATACTGTATACCCTTGTTAACCACAGACCTTGGCTAGAAGAACTGAAAAACTGTGCTGAGCGACTACAAGAACATGGTACTGAATGAATGCAGGACAACATGCCGTTGTGCCATCTTGAGGAGGTGTTATGGTATTGCATGGTATTGATTGCTATGGCTCAGATTTATGAAGCAATATTATAGATAAAATCAATAAACTCATATATATTTTTTTAATTATTTTGAGCATAAATATACAACACCTTTCCCTTATATTACCAATTTTAGAATTTTATCCGTAATATTTCTCTGACTGCTTTCTTTTAATAAAATATGGGTTATTTATCATTAAAGGACAGAGCATTTTCAAAACATAAAAAATATAGCAACAAACTAAATTAATGAAATTGATTAATTGCTTTTGGCATCTAACACAATTTAACCAAGACCACATCTGTGTGGAGTGGAGAGGGTTTGGTTAAAGCTTGACAAAGCTGTGTGGTAAAAGTTATTCTATTATCTTTTAGCACATATTTTTAAACAAACTTCTTGAATTCATCATAAAGCACGAGCACAAATGCGCCCCCCATTCCTCTGAGTACATTAGACAGAGCCCCTTTGAAGAAAGCTTTTCCACCCTCATCACGAGCGATCTTTCTCCAGCAGTCAAGGGTTCCAGTGTACATAATATCCGCTGGGAAAACAAAAGACAAAGGCCTGAGTTGAAATAAATACACACTTGATGGAGAACAGTGCATATGTGCATACAGTGTGTCTGTTGTATACCTCCTTTGCGCCCGGACTGCATCATCATGCGACGCCGCACAGTGTCAAATGGATAGGACATCACGCCAGCCACTGCTGTCACAGTTTGTGCAATCATCCAGCTGACCATAATGTGGGTGTTCTTAGGGTCGGGAAGCATGCCTGCACAGCACCACACACAATGATGCATGCATGTTTCTTATATATTTGAAGAATTGAAGAACTGGCTGTGTGAATTTGACTTGAACTGGCCATATCACAAGTTAAATTCGAATGACAGAAAGAGGAATTGCAATTCTGAATACTAAATTGTAAGTGTAAAACACAGGTAATGCATTCTGGGAAATGAAGTGATCTTTCACCCTGGTCCCCAAAAATATGATGACATATAAACTAAATACAATCTTTTAAAGGTGAAATTTCAAGCATCTCTATCCATAAGACCTATAAATCTGAAAACCTCAGGGCTCTTAAAACTTTTTTTCTCTCAAAAACTAGTGTTGTTATTGTAAGTAAAACTAGTTAAAGTTCTAAAATTACTAAAACTCAAATAGAAATAAATGAAAGCTAAACAGAAATATAAAAACAGAGCTAATAAAATTACAAAAGCACACACTAAAATTACTAAAACAAACTAAAATGAAAATGGAAACTGAAAATATAACAATAAAATCTAACTCAAAATTTTAATAAATACTATAATAATATATAAACAATAGTAAAATAACAGTTTCAAACAAGGCTTTGTCAAGCCAAAATTCAAAGTTTGTATTTGCTTTTGTAGTAAAATCAATGTTATTTTTTATTGACAATTGTTTTTAAATTAAATTCATAAAAAACCCTCATTTAAAATATCAATAAATATAATATAAATTAATTATATTATATAAATAATATAATACAAATGTAACATTTTCAAACAAGGCTTTGTCCATCCCATATTTAAAGTTTGCATTTGCTTTTCTAGTAAAACCAATGTTTTTTTATTGAGAATTTTTTGAATTCCAATTTATATTAAAAAAAAGTACTAATTCAAATTATGAATAAATACTGTATCACTAAAACAACCCTGTTTCAAACAAAGCTTTGTCAATCTAAGCTTCAAAGTATGAATTTGCTGTTCTACTAAAATCTATTATTATTTTATTCAGATTTTTAAATTCTACTTCAAAGCATTCAAATTGAATTCAGCAGTTTGTTTTCTTCCTCTATTCAAATGATTTCAAAATTCAAGAAATACACTGGAATTTGAAAGGCAGTCTCAAATCAATCCTGAATAGCGCACAACCCTGAAAATCACATCATCTGACGCACAAACCTATTACCTTTAGCAGTGTCATAGACTCCGAAGTAGGCGGCCCTGTAAATAATGATGCCCTGGACAGAGACGTTGAAGCCCTGATACAGACCCCGCAAGCCGTCTGACCTAAAGATTTTGGCCAGGCAGTCAGCCAGCCCATTGAACTCTCTGCTGCTGCCAGCTTTGCCGACATCTGCAGCCAAGCGGGTACGAGCGAAATCCAGAGGGTAGACGAAGCAGAGGGAAGTGGCTCCTGCAGCTCCACCGGAGGCCAAGTTGCCAGCAAAGTATCGCCAGAACTGTGTGTGCTTATCAACGCCACCCAAGAATATCTGTTTGTACTTGTCCTTGAAGGCAAAGTTGAGGGCTTGTGTGGGGAAATAGCGAATAACGTTGGCTAGGTTGCCGCGCCAATAGGAAGCAAAGCCTTGTTCCTTAGGAATCCTCACAACACAGTCGATAATACCTTTGTACTGTTTGTCTGCACTGATCTGCTTGCTGGCATGTTGTACCTATAAAGTGAAACACCAAATACTGTGAGATACATGATATCTGGATTGATTTTTTGTCGTTTGATTGTCCTTGAGCAATATTTTAAATACTGAAAACTGTGAAATACTATTACCATTTAAAAGAACCTTTTTTAGCAGTTTATATAAAACGATTTCTATTTTAAAATGCTATTTATTTCTGTGATGATGCTAAAGCTGTATTTTGAGCAGCCATTATCAGTGTCACATGATCCTTCAGATATCATTCTAAAATGCTGATTTGCTGCTCAAGAAACATTTATTATTATTATCAATGCTGAAAACAGCTGCGCTGCTTAATATTTTTATGGAAACCAGATTACATTTTCCTAATATTCTTTGATGAATAGGAAGTTCGAAAGAAAAGCATTTATGTTTTTTTATAACATTATAAATGTCTTCAATACCACTAAATCTGCTAAATCTACTGACCCCAAACTTTTAAACAGTAGCCTAGCGTATAACTGTTTCCACAGAAATATTAAGCAAAAACTGTTTTCAACTTTGATAATAATATGAAACGTTTCTCCGGCAGCAAATCAGCATATTAGTATGATTTCTGAAGGATCGTGTGACACTGAAGACTGGTAATGACTGCAGTAAATTCAGCTTTGCATTCACAGGAATAAATGAAATATATAAAAATAGAAAACAGTTACTTCGAATGATAATAATATTTCACAATATTGCTGTTTTTACTGTATTTTAAATCAAATAAATGCAGCATTGCTGAGCCTAAGAGACTTCTTTCAAAAACATTTAAAAAATCTTGAGGATTCCAAACATTTGTATGGTAGTTCTGACATACTTTTCTTCTGATTTTAGATGCCCTTCTTGGCAAAAAATCAGCCCTAATGCATAAAGTCTGGGCCTGCAACATGAGACCAGACTGCAAGAGTTGCAAGATGTGCCACCCAACCAGCAGCTGGAAATTCACGGTTTGGCCTTAAAATACGGTACATTTGGGTTACTAAAATCTATAAATTAAGATCCACGTGAAAGAATGCCAGAATAGAAACTAGATATTAAAATGAGAATTTAAATGTTGAGATCCTCCAGGGACGCGGATGCTGCAGACAGACAACTCAAATATGGCCTCTGAAGGACAGTCAGTTCACATCTTTATAGCCACAAAATAATTCACGCTATTCTTAAATACGAAAGAAAGGGGTTTATAAATTAGCATGCCTCACGGCAGAGTGTGTTAAGAGAAGTCCAGATGTTGATTCTCACCTGCAGCAGCAGTTTGACTCTCTCTATCGGCGCGACTGCAGTTTTGGAAATAGCCGCTGCGACCCCACCGGCCAAGAAGTCTTTAGCAAAAGAAAGTGCAGCATCAGCCATGACGATAATACTTAAGCTTAGTGTATTATAAACACAATATACTGAACGTGCTGGCAGATGCAGGAGGTAGAGCAGAGTGATGAGGATGCTGCGAAGGACACACCGCGCTA